TGGCTTTTGTTACTTGGTAAAGTTCTTTGTGATTCTGTGGCGCCAAGATCTGATGGAGTGTAGTCTTCTTTAAGACCTGGAGGATTCGCTTGAAGCCATTTTGAATTATCGATCTGTGAAAACGTTTGTATCTAGCTGATCGTTTAGACATTTCTGTAAAAGATGGACGCCTTGCATGACATCCACATGAAAATCTAAATTTGACCAGACTAAGAACCCGACACGAGTTGTTTGATTAATATTTTGGTTTTGTAGTTATTTGCGGTGTTCAATTTTCTTATCTCCTATACTAAATTTGTTATAACTGCTCCATGCACCGAGATATGTGTGAAGTTTTTAGTATTTACTAAATCAGCATTCTGAATTAAGGCATGTGGCATCACTGCTTTCATTGCAGTTCCAAATCATAGTTTTTATTTCGGAAAGGTGTTGTATAAGAATAAAGTGTCGTTTTCAACACTAGTTTGAACACAGATCACCAGTGAGCAAACACGGACGATTCCATTATTAAATAAGTCGATCACGTGATCGTAAATGAGAATTAGGGTGACGTCTAAGGGATCTCTATTCTCTATACTATCTACTATAATATTTCTCTATACTGATCATTATACGAATTACTATTCTAACAAGTATTATTAGTGCGAATATTACTGGAAGGGGTTACTACTACCAGTATCTGCTTTACAAAGTCTCGTCTAAAACGAGGATTTCGGAAGTGATAACGAGAATTTGTTGACCTAACGGAAGTTACAACGTGTGTGCGTCTAACGCTACAAAAATGGTTTATCTTAATTCTCACTTCTTGGAACACTTGGGTAAAAAAAATGTTGATTTTTTTTTTGTTCAACGTCACTCATATCCCAACTATGAATACCTATATCATCATCATCGGCCTCCTTATCACAAACTTATTTGTTTGTGATTCTGTATCGCCAGCTTATGTGATCTGCTGATCGATAGTATAAAATAAAATAAAATAAAATAAAACGCTAGTAAATTGTACCCATACAGGGACGGCGCGTACTACCCCCGAACACCCAGACGAAGTGGGTGCAAACCTGATTGGAGGTTCCGGACAGTGCTTTGTGACCCCGCTATCTTATCAACACTTGCCTTTTTTTCTCTACATTTATATAGGTTAGAAATTAAACTAAGCAAAAATGACTATTAAAATTTCCCCGGATTTTGACGTCATTATGGGGTCTTTTTTTTTGTTTCATCTAAATTCGTGAATTTGTTTTGTTATGCTAAGTCTTGAAAAAAAAAACAAAAAAAAAAAACAAAAAAAAAACACTATAAAATTCACTTTTTTATCTATAATGTTGAATGTGTTAATATTATTTAACAAGAAAAATGTTAAAAATTGCTGCAAAACATTGTTGATTTATTTAAGATGGAATGATTTGTTATGACGTGTCACTTATTCGTATTTAGATACATTGTATTTTCAATTTTTCTAGTTGAATTGTTTATTCATATTGCATATGAATTATTATTGTACATAATTAGGTTGCAATAAAATTTGTATTTCATATGAATACTATCTTCTGAAAATTGAGATGTAGTAAATTGGGCGAGGGTAGGTGATAGAATCGGTGGGTGAGACATGAGTCCCTTGCATCGGACCTGTACGCTCACATAACATTCTCACCTCCTCATTTTTCATAAAAGGCGACGAGTTTGAAAATATTATTTTCATCAGCCGAAATTCAAACTTGGTTTTGCCAATTTCCTATTGATAAATCACCCTGTACCATTCCCTCATTCGCTGTCTGGGTTTATCGTGGATTTTGACAAAAACGTCGATTGACTCTGGGAAGATCGAGCGCTTCAAGCGAGTGTCAGCGACCCAGTATCAGGATTGGAGACATTAAATTGTGGAAACGGGTTCATATCCATTCCGCTTAAGGACGCGCGCTTTTATTTATTACTCTTAGTTTATGATCTTTTTTCGCGAGAAGAGAAAAACAGTTCTGCTTGCTCGCACACTTATTAATTTGACCTTTCAGTCCTGATTTGTCCTCATAGTCGCATTTATGGGCGCATTATTATCACAGCAATAAAACTTCCAGTCGGGGAAGAAGTTCACTAGGTCGTAAATATACATACATACACACACACACACACACACACACACACACACACACACACACACACACACACACACACATATATATATATATATAACATATACAGTGTCTAAGAAAGTAGGTATACAGTAGATTCAGAATATATATATATATATATATATATATATATATATATATATAGGGCTACAAAAGTAGGTATACAGTAAATTCACCGAATCTCGAACCTATGGAATTCTTTTTCAGGGATGTGTAAAGGAGATATATTTTTTTTTTGATTACTGTATACCTATCTTTGCACAACTTTATTAAAAATATATATATATATATATATATATATATATATATATAGTTTTTTCATTTCAGCTTTTGGAAGTAAAGTCTGATGATCCAGAACCCTGTTAAAGGGGTTATGGTGAAATAGCTTATTACATGGAGTCTTAACGTGGTCTGTTTTTTATTCAAATATATATATATATATATATATATATATATATATATTACATGAATCATTCATACAAAAAACATACTTTGTATATCTGTTTTTTGTATGAATGATTCATTTTTGAAATGAAAAACGATTTTGATTTTTCATTTCAACCTTTGGAAGTAAATTCTGATGATCCATAGCCCTTTAAAAGGGCTGTGGTGAAATAATTTATTACATGGAACCTTAAAGGGGTCTGTTTTTTATTCAAACATATTTGCTCTGAATTTACATTGAGCTCTCCGGATATTATCCTCCTTGGGTCTACCCAATACGGATTACCTAGTTTTGCATAAACTAAATATATATATATATATATATATGATGCGGCAGAAATACAATTAAAACTGTCACCTGTGTGGTGCTAGTGACCTTAGGCAAGTGGCAATGGTGACTTCATCGAGCCTTACCATTTTTTGGATACAATCAATTATCAACATGGCTTGGATCGGCGCGCTTGCTGTTGAAACGTTTTTTAAAGAATGGTGAATCTGTAATTGAAACAAAGAGCTTTTCGTACTCATTTCATGTTACAACATAATGATTTTGTTCCAGATAAAACTTTGATACTGCTCTGGGTTGAAAATTCCAGGGCCACAGCTTCAGCGCTTAAAAAAAATGCCACCAGGAAGACCTGAAAGCTTTCGAACTTCTGGGTAATAGAAAATTTTAGAAATCGTCGACAACAGCCTATGGTGAATAGAGGCCACCATTTGGATTATGTCATTTTAAAAATCAAATAAATAACAGCTGTAACCCCTACTTTTTTTTTAAATAACCGTGAAAGAATTGTTTTAATAGCAGTTATCTTTGTCAACCTTTAAAATGTGGGAGGTATTTCTGTCGCACCCTGTTTATCTTTACAAAAAGTGAAACTATTTTGTGCATTTAATTTTTTATACAGTTTAAAATTTTTTAGAGATTTTTTTAGGATATTTTATTAGATTTGAATCTTAGAGAAAATTTTCCAGAAGTGATGAATGTATTAATTTTTAGCGTGTGAGTGAGTATGGCTTTCTGCTGGATTGATCCTGTTCTCACGTTCTGTTTATATGAGTCGAGAAATAATATGATGAGAAAACAGAATCAAGCAAAAAAAAAAAAAAAAATGAAACCTCGAATTGTTTGTCTGTAATAAAAATGTAATCGTCGCAATAAATAAAATACTTCCCGCTTGAGCTCTGCATGATTTGTTTTTATACTTTTATTTTATTTTAAAAGTTCCAGGTGTTTAGCTTTTCGACCGGGAAGTCAATTCTCCCGCCAAAGAAATAAAGATTCAATATGAAGGTTAGACATTGTAACTCTGCAGACGTGATCAAATCACCAGCTAGATAGAGAAATTAACGAAGAAGAACCGTGATATCAAAATACAAAAACTAAAATAAAATAAAAAGACAGACAGTTTTCTCGGCTTCATTCTATGTCTCTCTTTATATTTTCTATATTTTTCTTGGATTTTCGTTCTGTTTCGCGAAATTTATTTTCCATTTTTTTCTATTTTATTCTATCTATTTCTCATTCTCAAAACTATAAAAGATGTCAGTTTACTTGAATTAGTCGCTACATGCTAGAGTTTTTTTCCCGATTTTCCATTTACGCTTTTGCTGTTTCTCTGGTCGTCTAATTGTATAATTAGCATCAGACTAAGTACTCACCCATGTTTAAATACTTTCTTTCTTTCTTTCTTTCTTTTGCAATACCTTCATCTAACGCAAGGAAAGTTGGCTCTCTGTGTCGTGCCAGAAAGTTTTTCTCGTCCGAGTCCAGCCTTCAAATCTATAAATCAACCATTTGTCCTTGCATGGAATATTGCTGTCATATATGATCTGGTGCTCCCGCTGTACGTCTCGAGGTCCTTGACAAAATCCAGAGACGAATACGCAAGATGATAGGTCCTGATCTGGCATCTAGTCTACAATCGCTATCCCACAGACGTGATGTGGCCTCTGTCTCTTCTATAAATATTTTCACGGCAACTGCTTCGACGAACTACTGTTGCTGGTTCCCAGATTTCATGAATTTAAACGTGCTACCAGGCTGGCATCTTGGTCTCACCCTTTCGCTGTCAAAACGGTTAAATGTTTCTTCTTCTTCTTCTTCTTCTTCTTCTTCTTCTTCTTCACTTCCCATCTGTGGAACTCCCTTCCCCTTACTTGCTTCAAATATTCAAGTGTAATGTCAATCAACATCAGCCATCCTGAGCTTGTTCCCGTCCTCTGCATCCTTTCCTCAAACACGCCTCTTTACTCTTGTTCTCAATCCTCTGTAACCCCCTGCGTGCTAGTGGCACTCCCACCTTGCTTGGGGTGAATTGCCTTAAATAAAATGTGTCTAACGCTTTCTTTCGTTTTTTCTTTTGCATGTATCTCACTCATTCTTTCTTTCTTTCTTTCAGTTTGGTATAGCACAATGTAGGCAAAATGTGGAGAGGTCTTCTAAGTGAGAATGGCTTGCTTTCGTATAAAAGCCGCATTCAAAAAAATTGGCATTTTTCTTTAATTTCTAAAATTGACCACTGGCAAATATTTAAAACAATAAGGAGATTGGTTACATCAGACGATTTTCTCGATACTGAATAAATTTGTAGAGCAAAAGATTGAAATTTACAGGTGTGTGAAGAGGACGACTTCGTGACGTTTCAAGTGGCGATGACCTGCCTAGAAAATCAGCATTCTAAATATTATTTCTTTGTTTTCGATCGGAAAGGGTAAGAAATGGGTAAATATTTCAATTTTGTTTTCTTTCTTTTCTTCCCTTCTTTTGTATAGTTGCATACCTGTCTTTCTTTCTTTCTTTTCTTCTTTCTTTTTGTCTTTCTTTCTTTTTTTCTTTCTTTCTTTCTTTCTTTCTTTCTTTCTTTCTTTCTTTTTGGCCCAGTTATATTTCCTCTTCCGTTATAAAGTACCCCGCGTTTCTATCTATCTATCTATCTATCTATCTATCTATCTATCTATCTATCTATCTATCTATCTATGTCTGTTTTCTCTCTCTGTCTCTCTTTATCTATATGTGCCTATTCTCTTTCTCTTCTTCTTTCTCCCTGTCTGTTCTCTCCCTATTTTTCTATGTCTTATCTATCTGTCTATCTATCTATCTATCTATCTATCTATCTATCTATCTATCTATCTATGTTTTTTTCTCTCTCTCTCTTTATCTATCTATCTATCTATCTATCTATCTATGTTCTCACTCTCTCTCTATCTATCTATGTTCTCTCTCTCTCTATCTATCTATGTTCTCTCTCTCTCTATCTATCTATCTATCTATCTATCTATCTATGTTCTCTCTCTCTCTATCTATCTATGTTCTCACTCTCTCTCTCTATCTATCTATCTATCTCCGTTCTCCTTCTCTCTTTATCTATCTATCTATCTATCTATCTATCTATCTATCTATCTATCTATGTTCTCTCTCTCTCTCTCTCTCTATCTATCTATCTATCTATGTTCTCTCTCTCTCTCTCTCTCTCTATCTATCTATCTCTGTTCTCTCTTTCTCTCTCTCTCCCTATCTATCTATCTATCTATCTATCTATGTTCATATCCATCTATCAATTCTAGTCATTTCAAAAATATTTACACTTACATGGGTTTGAAGATATGAAGACCTACGTGGTAGATTCCTTGACACACATAGGTAATATGTCCGTCAACTTCATTGTCACTATTGTATTTTTTGTTTATTTATTCGAATTCTTGTTGAAATCTGAGGAGAAGGGTGATTCCGCTAACCCAGTGTGAGTGTCTGGCGGCCTTGTTTCCTCTTTAGTTTCTTACGAAGTGGCTCATAAACCTAAAAGTTTCACAACTCCTCCCTCTTGTAAATCTTCAGTTATTGCACGAACGATTGTCATTGCTTTGAATTTAAGATGGCCACACGCACGAATAAGAAGCACTGTAAAAATATTCAGATAAATGCATTTAAAAATATCACATACAATGACATTCTCCTGCATCTGTCTCGGCCCACTTTGTCGTTTTTATACTACTGTTCACACAATACAAACGCAAAAGGCCAGTCAATATCGAAAATGACTGAATGCAGTTGTAAAGGCGTAAGAGTAAGAAAATAAGGAATGCATATTATGAAGATATGTAGGAAAGATAACTCTTGACAATATATTTGAAGAGGCTGATAGTGTTGAAAGCATTCTCTCGATAGCCTGCTCTACAAGATAACAGTTCTGGCGAAGAAGTTGTCTGAGTGAACCTCCTCTTTACAAATGGAATACGAAGGCGATGAAGATAAGTCAACCTAGTGTACGTGACTTTGTTAGTTACGAAAGTTTGAACTGTTGTTACTAAGGAATATAGCTCGTTGGATATTTCCCATGAAAATAGTGAGAGGTTAGCAAAGTTTCGTCTGTGAGAATTGGGTTTGTAGGGTGGAAAATCAATAATCGGTCACAGAGCCACGTCAAAGCTTTTGAACTCTATCAAAGCTGAAAAATGAGGACTTAGCAGTTCCAGCCAGATATAGCAGTAATATTTTTTGTTTGATCTCAGGAGGAACGAGGTACTTTATCTATCTATCTATCTATCTATCTATCTATCTATCTATCTCAGTGTGTTCCTATCTATCTACCTAGTTGTGATCTATCTATCTATCTATCTATCTATCTATCTATCTATCTATCTATCTATCTAATTCATTATATTCTTATCTGTCCACCTAACTGTGATCTATCTATCTATCTATCTATCTATCTATCTGTCAAGCCTTGTCGGCATGGCTTTTAATATGCCTGTTGCCTCCCCAGCAGAGCATTAAAGTCCCTTAAAAATGAGGGGTGGGGCTTCCGAATGGATACTTGCAAACTGCAGCATAAACCCGGCACCATGTTTACCATTTTCTTTAAGTCTGGTATGAAACCAATTTATATCTGCCGTTTCTGGCGTTTATATTTCATTTTATAATCATGATTGATTGATTCGTTTTCTACGGCTTTTCAACCTTAAAGCCAGACCATATTTTTAGAATATAAGAATTTCATTTGAGATAATAATGACTTAGTGATACACGTCTTACTAATTAATCCATAGATGGAGGAGAAAAGAGGTGGATTCACATCTTTCCCAAGGGTGCTTGTGTGTAGATGAATATGACAAACCCAACTGGAATTGGAACTAGGCTCTCTGATTAATAATTCCGATCCATTGTCCATTACCACCCGCACATCCATACAAACAGGAGCTGGTATTCCCAAGCAGTCACCCATCTAGGTACTGACCAGGCCCGACGTTGCTTAACTTCGGTGATCGTACGGTAACTGGTGTTTTAACGTGATATGGCCGTAAGCCTTTAAAAGAATCTACTTGGTTCGGGGATAGGTAAGTATTAGTGAATTTTGTACGAGTCACTGTTCGCAACATGTCAGCGTATTGTCTCTAAATTAGTAATTTATATTTGAGTTTGTAAGCATTTACTTGGTTTGCCATAACTGAAAGTAATGTCATATCAGTAAAATATCTCGCCACTCGCTCCAAATCGAAACAGCTTCTTCATTGTCTAAGAAACAGACGCTTTCACTAGCGTCTGCATTGTCTAAGAATTGTCTTGAATTATTTTGTGGTTCCCTGACGTAGTAAGACAATCTCACATTTATCGAGATATCTCGTCAGCCGCGTTCCTGTTGTTAAGCATCTTCTATGTTCCTAAAACCAAAATCAATCAGTTTTTTTTAAAGCGTTTCACCCCAAGCAAGGTGGGAAGCCACTAGCACGCAAGGGGTTACAGAGAGTTGGAGCGAGAGCAAAGAGGAGTGATAGAGGAAAGGATGAAGAGAAGGATAGAGGATAGATCAAGGCATCTGGAGACATCGATTGATATTACATTTGAATAGTTGGAGATTATAGCTATCAGGGAAACAGGAAAAGGGGAGGGAGTTCCACAGGCGAGAAGTGCGCGACATGAAACTATTGGAGTAGAAGAGACGGCTACATTTAACAGTTTCGACAGGGAAAGGGTGAGAGCGATATATATATATATATATATATATATATATATATATATATAAAGAGTTTCACCCCAAGCAAGGCGGGAAGCCATTAGCACGCAAGGGGTTACAGAGAGTTGGTGTGAGAGCAAATAGGAGTGATAGAGGAAAGGATGAAGAGAAGGATAGGGGATAGATCAAGGCATCTGGAGACGTCGATTGATATTACATTTGAATAGTTGGAGATTATAGCTATCAGGGATACAGGAAAAGGGGAGGGAGTTCCACAAGCGAGTGGTGTGAGACATGAAGCTATTGGACTAGAAAAGACGGCTAGATTTAACAGTTTCGACAGTGAAAGCGAGATGCCAGCCTAGTTGAACGCTTAAATTCATGAAGTCTGGGAACCAGCGAAAGCAGCTCATCGGAGCAGTTACCCTGAAAGTATTTGTAAAAAAGACAGAGGGAGGCGACGGCACGTCTGTGAGAGAGCGACTGCAGACGAGATGACAGTTGATGCCAGTATTTCGTTACTTTTTACAGTTTACGAATAATTTATTAAGCACTTCTCTCCGGTGAAACGTCATTATCCGATTGCTTAATGTGTAGCAAGGGTAAATGGAAAGAAAAAAAAAACAGAATATATTCAAGTAGTTAACTTTCTATACTACCATAAAAAGGAAATGGTTTCAAGGGAACTCCCATCAATAGTAGAAAGAGCTATAACACTTAGTAGATTTGAAACCTTTACTATTGTAGTGAGTTATTTTCTTCACTGGGTGCTCCACATCTATATTTATATACTGAACTCGGAATAGGTTAGGTTGCTTAATTTTATATTTCAACGCTAAGGTTATTTTTATCGATTTTTGTATGGGACATTCAATTTTTATCGATTTTTGTGTGGAACATTCATTTTTAGCGATTTTTGTATGGGACATTCAATTTTTATCGATTTTTGAAGGAGCATTCAATTTATATCGATTTTTGTATGGGACATCCATTTTTATCGATTTCTGTATAGGACATCCGTTTTTGTGTGGGACATTCTTTTTTTATCGATTTTTGTATGGAACATCCATTTTTATCGATTTTTGTATGGGACATTCTTTTTTATCGATTTTTATATGGGACATCCAATTTTTATCGATTTTTGTATGGGACACTACTCAGTCGATATGGTCAACCATATTAGCGTTGCTACCCATTATTCTTAGCCACGGTGTCTATTGAACTCAGATAATTTACTAAAACCTTTATTAAGTAATGGACACTTCCAACTGCAACAAAAACAAAAATGGATAATACATGTAATTAGAAAGTACAATAACGATATAATCATGACGTTGTCCTTCCACATTACCAAAAACAAAAGGTTTGGAAGGAAATTCCCATCAATACTAGAAAGAGCGATATCAGTGAATGAACTTGAGAAGTTCAATTTCCTGAAAAACTGTTTTAAGAAAAAAGATTTTATAAATTCCATTGATTGATTGATTTTTACGGCTTATCAACCTTTTGTACTTTATTTAAAGCCGAAAAATATTTTTTAATTGGAAGAATAATTCATTTCACTATTTGCGAACTCTCTTGGAGATCGTTATGATTTTCAATTACATGTTTTAATCTTTAACCCATATCTTGGTGGAGAAGAGGTGGATTCAGGCCTTTCTCAAGGTTATTTACGCGTAATTGAATTTAACGAACTCGACTGGAATTCGAACTTAGCTCTTCGATTTCTCTTTCCGAGCCATGACCCATAATTATAACACCCACACATTCAAGCTTACAGCACTTGGTATTTCCAAGTAGTCACCCATCTAGATACTCAACAGGATCGATGTTGCTTATCTCCGTTATAAATTTCATTAACGCTAAGTGTTTGGTGTTGAGTTTTCCTGTATGGAAACAGTTGATTTTATCATTACCATTTGACGAAAATTTAGTAGAGTATTTGTGTCACTAGAGTATTAAAGTTGTTTAACTTACAAGCCTGCGAAGGTAGGCTTTGTCCTCTTTGTGCGTTTAAAAGAAGTTGGCCCTGTTTGAAAAATATCACCGACCCATTGAAAACATTTTAAGGACCCACGTGTACAAGACATTTTTTTTTATTACAAGCAAGTGTGAATGTTAACATGGAATAATATTCTCAAAAAAAAAAAAAAAAAAAAAAAAAAAAAAAATACAATGTCCCGAGCAGTTGCGTATCACCTTGCTAATAAAATACAAAACCCTATATTGTTCGCCGTGTAACATTTGGTAGCGCAAAGGCGTGAGTGAGCCTGTTGTAGTTTTGGAGATGATGTCCTTTTTTTTTTTTTTTGCTGTCATCCATTGTTTGTTTCTGTCAACAATGCCAAGTCGAGTGACGTGTTAACGGTTGGTGAAATTTTAGAGTTACCTGTTCAGCTATACACAAAAAGTTTATGTCGTTGCACAGTCTTATCCGAGTTTCCTCTGGTAAACTATGTTTTTGTTTTTATTTTGTCCATCGCAACAACTACTTTTCTAATAAAAAAAAATCATCTGTTATTTTATTTCGCTTTATTATCGATAAAGGAAGAACACAATTTAATTTTAAATTTCGAACTAATTGGAGAGCCGAGTTCGAATTCCAGTCGAATCCATTACATTCACTTACGTGTTAATACCCTTGGGAAAGGTATGAATCCTCTTCTTCTTCTCCCAGAAAAATGTTAGGAAAAATAAATGACAAAGTGAAAAAAAAATGAAACAGAACAGACCGGGTTCCATAGCAAACAACAGAAGAAGATTAATTCCAAGGATACCGATTCTGTGAGGAATTGGAGAGACGAGTTCGAAGTTCGAATTCCAGTCGAATCCATTACATTCACTTACGTGCTAATACCCTTGGGAAAGGTATGAATCTTCTTCTTTTTCTCCCAGAAAAATGTTAGGAAAAATAAATGACAAAATGAAAAAAAAATGAAATAGAACAGACCGGGTTCCATAGCAAACAACAGAAGAAGATTAATTCAAGGATACCGATTCTGTGAGGAATTGGAGAGCCGAGTTCGAATCCCAGTCGAATCCATTACATTCACTTACGTGCTAATACTTTTGGGAAAGGTATGAATCCTCTTCTTCTTCTCCCAGAAAAATGTTAGGGAAAAATAAATGACAAAATGAAAAAAAATGAAATAGAACAGACCGGGTTCCATAGCAAACAACAGAAGAAGATTAATTCCAAGGATACCGATTCTGTGAGGAATTGGAGAGCCGAGTTCGAATCCCAGTCGAATCCATTACATTCACTTACGTGCTAATACTTTTGGGAAAGGTATGAATCCTCTTCTTCTTCTCCCAGAAAAATGTTAGGAAAAATAAATGACAAAATGAAAAAAAAATGAAATAGAACAGACCGGGTTCCATAGCAAACAACAGAAGAAGATTAATTCCAAGAATACCGATTCTGTGAGGAATTGGAGAGACGAGTTCGAATCCCAGTCGAATCCATTACATTCACTTACGTGCTAATACCCTTGGGAAAGGTATGAATCTTCTTCTTCTTCTCCCAGAAAAATGTTAGGAAAAATAAATGACAAAATGAAAAAATGAAATAGAACAGACCGGGTTCCATAGCAAACAACAGAAGAAGATTAATTCCAAGGATACCGATTCTGTGAGGAATTGGAGAGCCGAGTTCGAATCCCAGTCGAATCCATTACATTCACTTACGTGCTAATACTTTTGGGAAAGGTATGAATCCTCTTCTTCTTCTCCCAGAAAAATGTTAGGAAAAATAAATGACAAAATGAAAAAAAAATGAAATAGAACAGACCGGGTTCCATAGCAAACAACAACAGAAGAAGATTAATTCCAAGGATACCGATTCTGTGAGGAATTGGAGAGCGAGTTCGAATCCCAGTCGAATCCATTACATTCTTACGTGTTAATACTTTTGGGAAAGGTATGAATCCTCTTCTTCTTCTCCCAGAAAAATGTTAGGAAAAAAAAGACAAAAAAAAAAAAAAAAATGAAATAGAACAGACCGGGTTCCATAGCAAACAACAGAAGAAGATTAATTCCAAGGATACCGATTCTGTGAGGAATTGGAGAGCCGAGTTCGAATCCCAGTCGAATCCATTACATTCACTTACGTGTTAATACCCTTGGGAAAGGTATGAATCCTCTTCTTCTTCTCCCAGAAAAATGTTAGGAAAAAAAAAAGACAAAGTGAAAAAAAAATGAAATAGAACAGACCGGGTTCCATAGCAAACAACAGAAGAAGATTAATTCCAAGGATACCGATTCTGTGAGGAATTGGAGAGCCGAGTTCGAATCCCAGTCGAATCCATTACATTCACTTACGTGCTAATACTTTTGGGAAAGGTATGAATC